ACACAATTTATCTCAACTATTATAATTATTTAATGTCTATATTGTTTATTTAATGTCTTCCAATTATTCTTAAAAATGCCCTTAAAAGCGCAGCTTTTTGTATCTAAGAATTAATACNTGAAAAATGCTGATAAAAAAGCACCCATAAAATTTGTCTAAATAATTTAATTGTCTAAATAAACCATAGAGTTTTTTTTATGTGGATAGAGATTAAGAATATCAAGTTAAGGATAACTATTATAATTATTTAATGTCTATATTGTTTATTTAATGTCTTCCAATTATTCTTAAAAATGCCCTTAAAAGCGCAGCTTTTTGTATCTAAGAATTAATACACACTCAACCCATATCATAAATGTGTTAAATGTTTCAGAAATACTTAGATTTTAATAAATTCCAGTGAGAGAAGTCGTGTAATTGCTTATTTTATTGTAACTAACAAAAATAAAACAATACAGATTCATACTAACAGTATATCTCAATGTTCATATACTAATATATAATAATTAAATAAAAACATCGCGAGATAATTACTAACACAAGTTTACTGTTATCATGCACGAAATTGTTTGAAATGGTCAAAGAAAAAGAAATTATGCTTATTTTAATGAATCGTAGCATTTCAAATCAATTATTTTTTAAAAGCTATAATTTTTCAGTAAACATAAAAATATGAAAAATATAATAAAATAATGATTTTCGCACAAGTATACTGTCATGTAAAATAGAAGATTGAGATTTCGAAATCAAGAAATTTTTTTAACTAATTTCAAAAGTTTCCCTGATCAGCAACTGCACTTAACATACTAAAAATTTTATGGGTACAAAATAAAATAAGCTGAAAAATGTCTATCGGCTTTTCACAATTTGCAGTAATAATGATGCATAGTATGATATTTTAATTTGTAAGTCATCTTTTTAATAAATTAATAGTAAAATTCCCATTGATAAATTTAAATAAATCATTTTATATTTTCCCTTTGTTATAGAACAAATTGCATTAAAAACAACGGGCATAGATGTTTAAATAAAATTTAGATAATGGTAAGTTTTTTTTTAAATTTTAGAAAAAAAATACTGAGAAAAAAAGTATGGTCAAAACTACCTGTATATGGTGAAATTTATCGTATTTCTGGAAATATGGTTGAAACAAAAAGCACAGTAGCTTTTACAGCAGCACTTGGGTAATGATTTTGGTAAAGTTAACAATAAAATTTGCTTTTATAATACTGATAAAATTTGATAAATGTGGTAAAGTTTAGTAATTTTATCATGATATCTAAGTCATGCATAAAATCATTTAATTTACCTTTCAACCTGTATTTACCTGTATTTTTTTCTAAATGTGTTTAGAACCAGAATTGTCATTACAAAACAATGAGATAATTTTAATTTTTTTTTGTCCGTAAAGCATGTTGCATTATAATATTTTCGAATAGAACCTTTTACTTGCAAATATCACGGAATAATTATATGTTTTGTGATGTCCAGAACGACTTTAAACTGTATTTACCAAACAACTTGATAATTCTAAAAATATATGAAATACTATACACGTTTACCCACCCCTGAAATTTAAAACATTAAGATATTTATTTTTCAAAACAAAAGCATTTATACAAACAGTTTAGAAACTACGACATGCATACTACGACATTTTGAAAATATGCATGAGAAAAAATTTTTTTTTATTCATTTGGAGGGAAGCACCTTTATTTAGACACATTAAAAATAAGAAAAACATATTAAATAT